AAATTTGCGAGGGAGGAGCAAGGGCAATACTGCGATCGGGCAAGAGAGAGGGAGGAGACGGATGACAGGGGCACGAGAGGAAAGAATCGTCGAACGCGAATCTAAGACGCCGGCCGCAAGGTAGACCCCGCGGCCCCGTCTCTTCAGAAAATAAAAATCGCGTTTCTCCATAAGTCATCCGAACGCAGGAACCAAACAGTGTCGCGGCGTTTTCAAAAACGCCGCCCACACTTATAATCTGCCCCAAACAGACCCTAAGTTTACAAAAAAGTGACTTTGCTGCAACACTTATAATAGCGCTATTTATACTTTCACTATTAATCGCAAATTATTACTTCTCTTGCACCATTCGCAGTAAAATAATATGATGTTAATCATGCCGAGATTTGAAGTTACACATCAAAATAATAATTTTTATTGGAAATTTTATATTGTGTTCAAAATTGTAGGACAGTCCTCGTAGTTTATCCTTTTTGTGAAGGAAACCATTTTACAATATTTTTGTATATTAATCCTTTAGTTGCTAACTTTTTGTAAGCAAGGGCACTTAAAAAATCTAATGAATAATTATTCATGGCTTCATATTTCTTCTTATAAATCGAATTGCCTCCTGTTATGACCAAAATGATAGACCATGATCCCAGTGCCAATGCTTTGCTAGAGCCAACCCCATCATTAGAAAACATAATCATAATCGATAATGAGGTTCCTGACAGTAGAAAATATAATACGGATTTAAAAAAAATAAAAGGGAGATTCACAGACAAACAAATGAATTATAGCTATTTAGATATCCGACACGTGATTCTTATAATTAATCCTTAACGCCTGTAATAAAAAAATAACCAGATAATTTTAACCATTCGGACTCCTAGGTTGGCATGCTGTTGTTTTTACTGAATTAGATGACGCATGTGTAAATAACAGGGTAAAGTGTTAGGTATGTAAATAGCATATAATTCAGCATTATGTACGTAAGTGCCCGTCAAAAACACCAAATACAGCTCAAAGAACATTACAGCCATCCTTTCTTCTTGAAGCCTGTGAACGAAGCATCAAAGAAACAGAAGATTCCGCCAAAAAACTATTCCAGTTGACAAGATAAAAGTAATTGCAATTGAACTAAAAGTCGAGCAAAATCATCCAAAATCTAAAACTGAATGGAAAAAACCAAAAAATAATTTACGACATAAATGCTTCTCCCAGATCATAGAAATACAAAATTACAAAACGAAGTTCAAGGTGAAGGACCAACGGCTCACCAATAGTTGGGATGGTTGTGACAATTTCCCCAAGCTTCAGCTTGTACAGGATCGTGGTCTTACCAGCGGCATCAAGACCGACCATCAGAATCCGGATCTCCTTCTTAGCAAATAGCCGACTAAAGAGCTTCGTAAATAAGAGCCCCATCTCTACCCGCACCTAAAACGCAATCAAACCACAAAATCAGCCAAACCGACGACAAAAATCATTTAAATTTTCAACATCCAGCACACTCTCCTCAAACGACAATAAGGAAGAGAACCATTAACGCATCTTCATCAACAACATCAAAACGAAACTTATTGAAAACAAATAAAAGAACAGTCCATGACAAAGATTCAACATATCCATTCATTGAAAGCCTCGATCCCTATGAGTAGAACACATGAGAAAGGATCTTACATCTTTCCAACGAAGATGAATGCGAAGCAAGAATAGGAAGACAGTAGGACAGTTCGCGCACAACATGAAAACGAAACTAATCTAAAATAATAAAAAAAGAATAGTCCATGATAAAGATATCCATTCATTGAAAACCTCGATCCCTATGAATATAACACATGAGAGGAGATCTCACATCTTCCCAACGAAAATAAATGCGAAGCAGGAATAAGAAGACAGGAGGAGAGCCATTCACGCATCTTCGTTCGACAACATGAAAACAAAACTTATTTAAAATAAATAAATAATTAAAAAAACAACAGTACATGCAAAGATTCAACATATCCATTCATTGCAAACCTCAATCCCTATGAATAGAACACAAAAGAGGGGATCTCACGTCCTTCCAACGAAGGTAAATGCGACGCAGGAATAGGAAGACAGTGAACCCTAGTAAAACTTAGATCGATGCCGAGATTCAAAACATACCAGTAGATTACTCCTAACAAATCAATGGCAAATGCTCTCCACGACTACGGGTAACAATGGCCTATCCTCTCCCTCCGCACCCCGCGAAAAATAGGAGGAAAACAAGCAGAGAGAAATGGGTGACGAGACGCGGAATCGGAAATGGAGAGTTTATATAGTATCCTGAGTACGCGCAACGGGAGACGTGACCGCCAGAATGGAACAGGTTGTCACCGGCAATGACCGGAGACTGACGGTTTCCCGGTGATTCATTCGACCATGTATCCGGTTCCTTATGAATGAAGGAATGGACCTGATAGCAATGGATTTGAAATTGTGTCACGGGAATATTAATTTGACTCATTCGGGCGACCAATGGAATAAAGAAAGTATTAGGTCCGGCGTCCGTGGAATTTGTCATTTTGCCTCATTAAAAAAATAAAATTGATTTTCTGTTGCTCTTTAGTGGCCTCTGATTAGTCATCCAGACGTGTGACTAACTTAATTCGAATCCAGATTGAATCAAAATCAATTTAATTTTGACCTGAACAACTATTATTTCATTTGTAGAACGGGTTATACAGGTTATGTTCAGGTTGGCAGGTTGAAGGCGGGTCTTGTTCGGGTCTGACTTTTTGACTCGTTTAATATTTGGGTCAAATTCGTGTCAAATTATTTTAGGTCGGATCAACTTTAAGTCAAATCTGAACTCAACCCGCAAACCCCATATAACACTCTTAGCAAAATACAAAATTTGTGCTTGCTTGGCTGCTAAACATTTATCACAATCACCTCTAGAACTCGCAGCTTTACAGCTCATTTGGGGCAGCTTATTTGACGTGGTGTGTTTTGAAAATGCTGGATGAGACTTTTGGAAACTGTGACGCTGCAACGTTGCTTAAAAATTTATGTTAAATGCGTGCTGATTCGACCCCACGACCTGTGTTTCTTCGTGAACCTATTACACTTATGCCCCTCTCACCGCTACCCCCTCAGTGCTCCCCTCTCATTCACATTTCTTCTGCCCTAGGTCACGTCTCTCTCGATCGCTTATCTCTAGCGCCTCTCTTCAGTGGCAACAGGTTGTCTTTCTCCTCTCCCTCTTTCCTCCGAGCTCTTGTTGCAATGGGTTGCCTCTCCCCTCTCCCTCTTCCCTCAGATCTCTGGCTTTCTGACTGCTTACTATGTTCTCCGTCTCACCATGATATCACCTATTTTTTTTCAATGGAATGATTCTCTCTTTGCGATTTGTGGCTTTCTCATTTGTAGTTTTAAGTAAGAATTTGAATTTTGTTATTTATGGCTTTCTCATTTAGAGTTTGAAGCGAGAATTTGGATTTTGCAATTTGTGGCTTTCACTTTATGATTTGAAATTTGGATTTTGTGATTTTGTGGTTGATTGTGATATGGAATGAGTTTTTATCTTCACCTTTGATGTTGGACTGTGAATTTGCAAAATGGCTGAAACGGGGTACTTGATTTGTTGATAGCAATGTTTTTAGGCGCCCCTATATGTAGTAGTCTCAAGTAAAAAATATGGCTTGGGTTTTATCTATACCTTTGATGTTTGAGTGAGAATTTGAAAAATGGCTGAAAAAGGGTGTCCGATATGTTGATAGCAGTGTTTCGGGTGCATTGTAAGCATCAAATGATAAAATTGAGATGAGGTTTTATCTTTACTTCTAATATTCGAAAGAGAAGTTGAAAAATGGTTAAAATGGGGTACTTGATTTGTTGATAACAATGTTTCGAGTGCCTTGCAAGAAATTGCATCAAATGAAAAATATGGGGTGAGTTTTTATCTTTACTTTTAATGTTTGGCAGAAATTTGAAAAAAATGATGAAAAATGTCGCTTGATTTATTCATAGCAATGTTTCGGGTACAATGTATGGAATTGCATAAAATGAAAAAAAATATGGGGTGAGGTTTTATCTTTACCTTTGATTTTTGGCAGAGAATTTAAAAACTACTGAAAGAGGGTGCTTGCTTTATCGATAGCAATGTTGTGGATGTGAAGGTGGTGGTGTGCATTGTTCTCTGTGTGGAGGTAGTGGTTACTGTGTGATTGTGTTTGCATTAGTGGATTGGTTGGTGGATGAGAGGAGATGGTGGTTGTTGTGTGGTTGTGTTTTGTTAGAGGATGTGTTGGTGGATGTGTGGAGGTAGTGATGTTGCAGATGTGGTGATTGGTGTGTGGTTGTGTTTGTGTTAGAGGATGTGTTGATGGATGTGCGGAGGTGGTGATTGGTGCATAGTTGTGTTTTTGTGGAGGTGTTGGTGCGTGGAGGAGGTGGTGGTGATGTTGTGGATGTGTTGGCGTCTTAATGTGTTGGTGTGTGAAGGTGGTGGCAGTGGTGATGTATATGTGATGTAGTATGGTGTGGAGGGGCATTGGTGATGATATTGTGGCATTCATATTTTTCTTTTAGTTGCGATACTGTGACATTCCTATTTGTTAATTAGTTTTTTTCATGATAATAATACAATTGTTAAGATAAAAGAGACTAGTTCATCTACAATGTGAGATAAATAGACAAAATTAATATTTTACGATCTTTGGCTCAAGGAGGTCAAAATGAGAAATAGGTCGACAGTTTATTTCAACAAGAAAGACTGACAAAATATTATTAGAAAATTCAAGGAATGTACATATAGAAAGTATGATAGGATGCAGTTAAAAAATAAGTGAGATCAGCTAAGAAAGATAGAATAATTTGGAATAAATTGAAGTGATAATCAACGGACTTAGGGTGAGATCTAGTAAAATAAATAATTGATGTTTCCGAGGAGTGGTGTGCAGAGAAACTTGCAGTGAACTTTTTTTAAATATCCCCTATTTTTGTTAAATCTTAATTTATTTTTAAATTCAACCACATGTTATATGAATTTGTAGATGATTTCTATTGTGAATAAATTTAAATACTATGGAAACAATCCTTTTCGGGAGGAGAAGTTGAATCGTATGTTTGGATGTGCCGTGACAACGAGTAACAATGCATGTGCCCCCAATGAGACAGGGCTTGGTGGCATCCCAAAAAACTTTGGTGCTGATCAAAAAGGTGATTACAATAAGGCCTTAGCCTGAATCTCCATGAAATTGAGTCCATAAACCAGTTAAAGCGTCCCCGAGTTGGAAAAAAAGATGGAGTTGCTTTTTCTTATAAGTCAAATCTCACAATTTGTGGCTTCATGTACCAATGACCCAAACCCATCACAAGTAACTTTTGTTCAGTAGGTTATGCAAAAGATGGAGGTAAATCAATAAATTTATGAGGACATGTCATTATATTTGTTATCTATGAAGATTCAACTCAGAGAGAGTTTTTCAAGACGATGCTTCCTGAATGCAGGGTGGTTTACCTACATTATTTTAATGGGAGTAGTGACATTTGAGAGACACTCATTTGTTTATTATAATTTTCTGGGCATATTATTTATTTACTTTGGAAATGTTTATTTGTTTGTGGTCTTTCATGCTACTTTGGATGTTTACGCTATTTTGGACATGTACTTGAGAGTTTTTCAGTATTCATTATGTTTTTTATTTACTTGTGTAATGTTATTTGCTTATGTTGGTTTTGTTCATAAATTTATATGGTTGTAGCTAAGTCATTGATGTTTTTGTGTTAGCCACTCCGATACCAAAAATACATGAATACAACTAGAGAAAAACGCCAAAAGAAAGTTACAACTGCAATATGCTTGATTTACGATTATCGTAACTCGTACATATAACACTCCCCTTACATGACATTTTCATATGTTGACGACAAATTGTTTTAAGAGTTGCTTGCGGGCCACCTAACGAGATTTGACAATATGTTTCGCATGACACAGGATATATTCACCGATCTGTTGGAGGAACTACATGTAAATCATTGACTTCATGACTCATCCAGAACAACTTCATGAGAGGTGTTAGCAATAATCCTTTACATATTATCACAAAATGAATTAATGCGACGAGAGCTATTTCAACACTCTTCCGAAAAGGATTTGTAGATGCTTCTCAGTAAGGCTGAATGCACTTATCACTTTTTCTTCACAAGTCATAAAACCAACAAATCCTGCATTCAAACGGACTCCCACAGAGATTTCACAGATACACAGTATATGACACAAGTTAAAGAAATTTTTCATATTCATTACATTCAATTTTCATATAAATATTGAAATTATATAACCCTTAATTGTCTTTCTAGAATTATATTTGAGCAATTGACGAGCACATATTGGTGCACGTGTTTCAAATAATCATAATATCACATTCATCGATTGTTATGGCTCATTGACAAAGAATGTCATGGTGGTATGCGACATCAACTTGTGCTTCACTTTTGTCATGATTGGTTAGGAGACTAGTGCACATGACAAAGAAATTTTCAAATATGCAACACGAAATAACAAATACAACTTCTTACATTCACCAACAGATTCACTTGAGACTGAACCACTATCTTAATTCTTTCTTTCTTCAACACTAATTATTTAATTCATGTCAAATAAATACAATTTTGTCGATGTTGGGTATTTGTTGCAGTGAGAGTATCTTAAACCCTAACCTGATACGAGATATTATATATCAAATTTTGAGCGAGCCAACAATGTCACACGAGATATAAAATAAATGTTCAACAAAAGACATTCCTCCTTACGCGGTGTCATTAAGAAGATATTTGGTGCTTGAAAGAAGAAATATGTTATATTTCGTGATGTGTTATCTTACCAATTTCCCAAACAGATGCAAATTGTGATTGTCACGATGTCTCTCCACAATTATATTTGGTAGTATCATTCCGCAATCACATCTATTTTCGTATGGCAGGTGAGGAACATGCCCATGCCTAAGTATCGTCATTAATAGTCCTTATCTCAGGCTGAAAATGAAGTTATCGAGACCCACACTTAAGATGATGAATGTGCAAACAAGATGATAGAGTTGAAGAAACAAATTACAAATGTGATAGTTGGAGGGTGATTGGAGGGAATGTTATGTTTTATTTATGTTAGTTATAATGATTGCTGAAGACATTCACTTTTAATAGTTTTAGTATTTTATACAGTTCATGTTTATTTTTGTCTCATATGCATCTGATATTTACTATTTTGGTTTTTTATGCAATTTGCAGATGTTTTTTTTTCATTTTGCTTCTCTTTTTTTTGTGGGCTTTGGATGTCTATGATAAGATGTTTTACATTATGGATTCTTTTGGATGGACTGTATTTCACTATTAGATGGTGTCACATGTGAAATTCTAGTGAAATGAACAAAATTTTTAAATTTTTTTTGAGTTACGGTTTTTTAGGTTATTTTGGATGACCTTTTTTGTGATATATATATATATATATATTATATTGATTAAAGACAACCAATAATTATTTTTTATAAAGTCTGTCTTGTTCTTGTAGTGATAAATTTGTTGATTTATACGTTGAGTTGTCTGAGATTTCACACATGCATAAAATTTAATTAATTACTTATATTGTCAATTTATACTTGTGTTATTTCTAACGGTATGTTTTTTTAAGCCTTCAGGAAAGATGAGCTTAAGTATTCCTGGTACATTCTAAGGATTGATTGCTACCATGCACGTCGAATTTCCTTGCTCACTTCACGTCAGCTACATAGCTGCTAGAGACAATTTTACATGTGCCCACAGAGAATCACATAATACTATCTATTTTTTGTGAGCAGATAGACTGAAAGATTCTATTGTCGAGAATGATCAGACATGGAGAGTATCTTTAAAGGACGAGTTAGCTTATGACATACACCATCTGCATTTTAAAAATAATATTAGTATATTATTAATTGTTGTTTAATAGTTATTTTATTAATATTGGTAGTCATGCTACTCATTATTAAACGAGGTGTCTATCTTTATTTTATAATGTTATACACTGATGTTTGTTTTTAAAATATATAGTGTATTGATATGAATAGTTATGTTGCAAACAACATTATTATACAAAGTCGAATAGTCATTTATCTAGAAACAGTCGCAACACAACTGTTTTCAAACTGAAAAAAAGAACAGATAATCCTGTAGCAACTGCTGCGCAACGGCTTATTATTAAAGTGCAGCTGCCCAAAATAAACTTAATCAACAATGCCAAACCAACGGCTCAGATTAAACGCAGAGAAACTCGCCGTTCGATCAACCAGCGCAAGCAGCTTACTAAAACCACTCCATAATACCTAAAACTTCCACGCCCTATCTCCCATCAGATCAGTGCAAAGTCAACAAAAACAAGGGAGTGAGGCGTATTATTATCATTTCCCGCAGACAGTTTATTGCGTGAGGCGCGGACCTTCGATCGGTTCTTTGCCTGGAGCATCGGCGAGAGAACGTGGATTGACGATAGGGTTTCACCCTGCATCTCGTAGGGCTGGAGTTCTGATCTTATATCGATAGATTTGATCTCTGTCTAGGGTTTCTGGTACGATCTCCCTCTTTTACGTGAACTAATTTAATTGCGATTTTGATTTTTTTCAATTGACATCAGAGTTTCCGAGCAAATATTTCCATTCATTAGAGTTTCCGGTTTTGTGTATGTTGAATACTAATTTGTCCGTAAATCATGCCCTAAGAACAGAGCGTAAGAAATGTGAGAGAGAACACTAATGAATATTAAATCATATCAATCACGTTGAAATTTCTGAATCATTTTGACTATCCTTTTATATATGAAATAATAATCTCTTTATAACGGAGATAAGAATATGGAGTGGTATTGCATTTTTGTCATTGCTTTAATTGGGGTTGCATAAGCTATTCTTGATATTTTACAGCTATAAGTCTATCGCTCGGCTGCTCTTTGGCCTTGTTTGGCTTCAGCTTGGCTGGGCTAGTTCGATCGGCTCGGGTTAGTTGGGGATGTCGGTTGATTGAGCTTAGTTGACTTCGGGTCGGTAGGACTAATTCGGTCGGCTAAGCTTGGTCTTTGTTGTCAATCGGGTCATTTGGTCTGGTTGTCAACCCATCCCTGGTGAGAAAACCATATCAGTAGAGCGATGCAGACTATCTAGTAGAGGGTGAATTATCATAATTTGATAGGTAGCTCTCTCCTTATGGAGGAGAGTTTGAGGGATAACTATAAGATTCTTTGTTGCGCTATTAATTCTTGATTCTTGATGAGGTGCCTTAGGGGCATCTGTGAGATGGAGATATTGTGGAAGTACATCTTTCCTCGGGTCACATCTACCGGAAGGTAGACTACTTTATTGGGTCAACTTTTTTTGTAATGATTGACTTAGATGTTTATTTGTCTCGTTTCGGCCTGAATGGTTCGGGCTTGAATCGCTTGGTTGTCTTTTTATCCTCTAGTGGCTTGGTCGGCTTCGGTTTGGCTTGGTTTGGTTTGGACTGCTGCTTCTAGTCAGCTATGAATTTGGCTTGGATGACTAAATTCGGTCGGATAAGTGGACTTTCTCGTCTTCTATTGGTGCCCTCTTTCGTCGTACAGTCATCCTCCAGATTGTTAGATCTTCTCAAGCTCAACGTTGACATATTTTTTATGTACTATATAATAATTTGTAGGTGATCTTAGACATCCGATAAAAATGGGATGAGAGAAGAAAGTATTAACATTGTAAGTACAAAGCATGTAGGTCAATGAGTGGTTCAAGTTGATCAATTAGTGTTTGTTCAACACGACAACAACCTAGATATGTTCTTATAATCCTGTTTAAATTATAGTAAATGGTTTGCATTTGAATTGATTCATTTGGAAGCAAATGTATTGTTATGTTGTTACTTATACTGAAAAAGATATTAGTTGCCTAGTTGGTGCATGGAGAATGGAGCCATCAACAAGATCATCATGAAATATTGATTTTCTATACCTAAATTGGCAATGATGATTGATATATTATATTTTTGAAACTTGATGTGAGAAGTGATCATCTCATAATAATTCTAGATGAGGATGAATAAAAATTTGCTTCATATGTCTGAAGATGGATATTATAAATGAAAGACAACAATTTTTTAATTGGCTGATTCACTAATATTTTTTCTGAGGATAGTCAATCATGTTCTTGATCGTTTGGCATATTTTGCATAAATATATATTTTTGACAATATTTTGGGATCTAATAAAACATCATAGGATCATTTAGTATTGTTACACAATGAAAAGTTGTGCTTAAATTTGAATTTTTTTTTTGTTATATTATCTCTGATGTATTTGGTGATGAATGTATGTTGATATTGGTTAAATCAAAGTAATTAATAATTGACCAACAACAACAACGACTGCCTTTTATGTTTTTTTAGAGTTTTTATGCTCTATTACATTCAATAAGTGATTTATTATGGGATTTACTATTGTAAGGACATGGGGAAAAAAATAAGATGTTTATAATTGGATTGTTTGAGGCATGTTTGTAGGCATCTTTTGCTTCATAAAGTTACACGTTTTTTTTAGCTAAGTCAAGTGTAGGGAGTAATTTGATAGTTTTGTATTGTAATTACTTTTATTTGGTGAACTCTTGTTATTTTTTAGTAAATATTTTATGCTTGGTTTTACAACTGTTCTTGATTTTAATCAGAATGGCTAGAATTTAGTTTTTTTTATTGTGTTGGTTTTTTATGGATTTAAATTTCCTGGGAATATATTTGATTCAATCAATCATTTGATTAAATTTCTTGTAAATTTTTTGATTTTCTGTTAACCGAAAGTAAATGTATGTTTTAATTGACAGTCTTTGAAATTGCGAACTCCAAATCTATTATGTGTACAACTTTTTGTTATATAAGGAATTGTAGATCCTTAGATGTATTACATAATACCATTTTGATGACCATCATTAACATTATCATCATGAAATTTATCCCAATGTTTTGCAATTAAATGGACATCCATTATTGAATTCCAAATGCATGACTTGCGTTCTATCAACTGAAAATATTTTAAAAAATGAAAATATTCCGCAATATGGAGTAATATTTATATGCTTGCTTGAAATACTTTATCTTTTGTTATAGGTTTTATTGATGGCTTCAACAACCTTAAGGAGGAGGCTTCATCATAGGGATGTTGATGGAAGAAAAAATGAACACATGGATGCTTTAAGTGGCGATTCCCTGAGTGAACCACTTCTCGGAAACCATGGGTACGATGGAAGCTCATCAGAAGTGGTATGATATCAGGCTTTTTTTGGGGTGGCATTTACATACATAGCACACAATTCTTATGTATTTACATATCTCACACCTAAACGTTCATATTTACACACATAGCACTCAAATCCTTAATATCACATAAAAAATAGTACTATTACAACTTTTTAAAAGTGAAATGCACCTCTTCATGCATAGATTTAAAAGAACACAATGCTTGTCTCTAAATATGAATGTGTTGGTGCGAAATACGTAAATACATAAAAATTGTGTGCTTTGTATGTAAATTTCCCTTTTCTTTTCAATTGGTGAAGCATGCTTTATGAAGGTTCTAATTTATACTCATCAACTTATTTAAATTTTGTAAATTTCTAAAGAATTGTAGTCATGGAAGCCATCAAGATCCATGGGATGATGGAAAGAAGGAAAACCTTCATTGGACGTTTCTCTTTTCTCAATTGATTGCTCAATGGGCACAGTGGATAGGTATTTATCATTACTTGTATCTCATTGCAGAGGTAGACCTAGACTTGGGCTTATTGTATAAAAAATGATCTTAATTTATTAGAACTAAATGAAAATATGACACTAAATTGGACACAATGAAGAAAAAGAATTCATGTAGCCGATCCCACGTAGTGGGATTAAGGCTTTGTTGTTGTTGTTGTTGTTATATCTCATTGCAAAGACCACTTCTTGTGCAAAAAAGGAACATGTTTGTATGAAATTTACTAAATTGATCCTTGCATGATGTAGACGAACTTTTTAAACCTCCTACTAATTATCTCATTAAAGTTTAGAGGCATTTACATACATACTGCCCAACTCCTATGTATTCACATATCTAACATCTAAACTTTGCCTTTTACATTATACCACCTATATCTTTCATATTACATAAAAAATACCACCTTTTCATGCATAGTTTAGGTGACGTATGTGTAAAAATGGAAGTTTAAGTGTTAGATATGTAAATACATATAGATGTAAATCTTCCTGTTATTAATTTACCCTTTATAATGTTTAATGCTAAATGTTTTACAACCGTAAGACCACACTTGAACCTTTTGGCAACAAAAGTCTTGAAAATTAAAGTTAAATGCGTTTGAACAATGACAATTAATTCAAATTGTAGGTTCATGCGTACTTCTATTGGCAATAAAAGAAGGGGCAATTACATACGTAGCACACAAAACATTATCATTTCCAAATCTAGCACCCTCTTTCATCAAATTTTCAAATTCTCACTCAAATATAAAAATTCACCATAAAACCCTAACCCATATTTATTACTTTTGAGGCTGTGTTTGTTAGGATACTATCAACAGGATTTAAGCATGAATTTAACTTAAATCTAGCCAAATATAAAAAAAAATTAAAAAATAAATAAAATTAAATTCAACGCTTCACTAAATTGAATTTTCTCGCATTCCATTAGATTTTTTTTTTGCGTTTCGTCTGTTTTATAAGGGAAATCCGAATTAAGTAAAATCTATTGCATGGCGGATTTATTCCATTGTCGCTCGCGAGCTCCTCTGTCTGTGACTGGATTTGATAAATCCGGATTTATCGGATTTGATAAATCCTTTTTAACATAAGTTGTAGTTGCAGCCAAATACCGCCTAAAATTTTCAATGGTTGAATCGCGACGATTGCAAGCGCATTGATTCAATTGTTCAAAAAAATCACCTAGGTGCTAATTTTGTAAATAACAAAATTTTGAGTGCTATGTATGTAATTATCCCTAAAAAATAAGCAAAATTCTAATGGTTTTGCTAACAGCATCACTTTGTCTTTATGAGGTTCTTATTTATATTTTTATAATTATTTAGTTGATCATAGCTCTTAAACATATTTCAAATAATGCTAATATCAATCAAGTTTTCTACTGCAGCGAATATTGTCCTTGGTTCCAGGTCAATTTTGGAAAGACTTTTCCCTTTTCCTTCATTTAGCCATGGACAGCAGGATGATGAGAAATTGCTGAATTCTCTTAGCCCCTTACAGGTATTTTTAAGATATGAAATATCAGATTCTGCAATCTTTTTTGTTTGTTTTTTTTTTTTTTTGGTAGTGGGATTAAGGCTTTGTTGTTGTTGTTTTAGAGGAAGATTAGCATATTATTATTGTAAACCTTTGTAATGTTTCATGCATATTCATATCCACTAAATTCTTATGTATTTACATATCTAACACCTGAACTTCAATTGTTACAGACACACCACCTTACCTATGCATGAAAATGGTGTATCTTACTTTTTAAAAGTTAAAATGGCGGTATTTTTTATTTGATATGAGAGATTTGAGTGTTATAAATGTAAAAAAAGTAAAATTTAGGTGTTATATACATGTAAAAACTATGATTTCAAAAGAAGAACATTAGCAAAAACAATATAAAGAGCCTTACAATTTAGATGTCATACTTTTTCTTGCTTTGAGCAAAGCAGATTTTGATTTATTTTATTTTTTGTTAGTGATGTAATTAGTTGGAGGTACTTGAAGGTCAGTAATCAATGCATTAATTGTGGTTTAATTATGTGATTAGTTTTGCTTTTGCTTTGCTTTGGGACTTTAAGGTTTTACTGTTAGCTAATCGTATTATGCTGAGCATTTGATTTCATGCCTATTTACAACAAACGCTTGGAAGTTACAAGTTTAGATGGGAATCCTTTCTTTTGTGAGGACTTCAGATATAATCCTATGAGCATTTAAGATGCACAACTAGTAGAGGGTAAATTGTGTATTTGAGGTCCGCACAATTATATTCTTTCACAATTAAATTTAGGTGTTTGTTTGGGACCTGTTTGTAAACTTTTGGTTGCTTTGCTTTTTAGAACTTACTTTTTTTTAGAATGATCTTTGCTTTTTGGAACTTACTTATAAAGTCATATATTAGCTTTCTTATAGTTGCTATGCTCTAACAAGTGATTGTAGAAATCTATTTTTGAAATTTCTAAAAAGTATAAAAAAGCTGCAATCAAACAGAATTTTGGCAACTTTTTGAGAAGCTAAATAGTGAAAAAGCTAACCCAAATAGATCTTTAGTTACACCTCACAATATCTCATACACCAACACATCCAAAAACATAGAAGAAAATAACATTCTGTGCTGCAAATTAGTAGGTAATATGCACTCTTCTTGATTCATCTATTTTTTCTAATGTTAATTTATATTAGACCTTATAATATTTTTCTCATAATTTAATGATTTTCTTTTATGTTTTATGTGCAGCAAGAAAGATTGAATGACTTGAAGCAGAGATTGAAGGTCCCATTTGACGGTTCTCGTCTTGATCATCAAGTATGTATTTTAGTTAAAAATGCATACAATTTTTTTTTTTTGGGTATTTACATACAGGCCACCCGAAACATTGATATTTATAAATTAACCACCCATGTGATTTTTTTGAACTAGCCGCAATCAAATTATTGAGAATTTGATAAAAATGAAAAATATAGTTTGAGGTTTTACTATGAATTTTGATATTTGAGTGAGAATTTGAAAAATGGGTGAAATAGAGTGGTAGATTTGTCAATAGGAAGTTTTTGGTAGTCTGTCTGTAGTTGCCCCTTTTGTTAAAAAAATTGAACATTTATATATATTCAGACAATTGACTCCTGTAAATTTGAAATATGGGGCATTTTCATGCATACTACCACACAATTCTTATATGTTTACATATCTAACATGCAAATTTTAATATTTACATACATAACACTCTAAAGCTTTGGAAATAGCACTATCACTAACTTTTTAACAGTGAAATACACATTTTCATATAAAGGTTTTTGATATGAAAATGCATAAGAATTGTGTGGTATGTATGCAAATTTCCCTTCAAATTTTTGCGTGGTCTTTTGGTGGAATATTTTTAATATATCTAATATCCTAAAATTCACATCTTATCTAAAATAGGGCTGTGAGTTTAGCTTGAAGGCATTAATCGCTCGAAATCGATTCGAATGTTGGTTCGGGTCGAAATAATTGTACAAAATTTTGGATCAAATTTTTTTGACCCAATTTCAAGCCATACATAGATCGGCTCGAACTGACTCGAGATCGGTTCATAGTATTTTTTATTTATAAAAATTATATAATTCTAAAAAACATTGAATATATCGAGCCACGAGCTAATTTCAAGCAGATTTTGAGCTGATTTCAAGTTGAATGGACCCAAATAAGTCAATTAGCGCAGTTTCAATCTTGAGCTGGATCGAGACTATTCCAATAATCCGAACAGATCCAAAAAACTCAATTTGAGCCAGCTCGTTTCAACTTCGAGCTGGATCGAGCTCGATTCAATTTCTAGCCGGCCCGGCATGAAATCAAATATAACTAGCCACAAGCTGATTTCGAGCCACACTAAATCAATTTCAAGCCAAATTCGAGCCGACCCCAACTCGGCTCAAAATCAGATCGTTAAAAACCCTAATCTGAACTGCTAAATTTTAAGAAAAAAATCATCTGTCATTCAGGATGCATTGAGACAACTCTGGAAACTAGCATATCCCAATAGAGAAGTCCCCCCTCTCAAATCAGAACTATGGAAGGAAATGGGCTGGCAAGGTGCTGATCCATCTACAGATTTTAGGTAATAATTTACCTGCAGCTATCTTATTTACTAAGGGAAATTTACATACCAAGCACATAACTCTTATATATTTAGATATCTCACATCTAAACTTTCATATTGACATCCCTAACACTTTAGAAGTGAGTTTAGAGCTTTAAAAGCTTACCCATCTCACCTCTAAGCTTTCATATCTCATGTAGCTTGCAATTTACTGCTTTAAACGTATGCATGAGAAGATATATTTCACTTATAAAAAGTGGTAATAGCGCTATTTTTTATGTGTCATTATAGATTTGAGCAGTAAGTGGGTAAATACGTAAGTTTTGGTGTGAGATATGTAAATACATTAGAATTGTGTGCTGTGTATGTAAATGCTCCCATTTTAAACAATCTTAACCTACACTGAACTTCTGATTGTTTGTGGCTAGGGGCGGTGGCTTCATATCTTTGGAAAATCTCATTTTTTTCGCCCAGAACTACCCGGTAACTGCGCACTTCTTCATCATGCAGCTGTATTTTTATTTTAGGGAAATTTACATACATGCCACACAATTCTTATATATCTACATATATAACCCCCAAAGTTTGATATTTTTGTTTATAACACCTTGGTGATATAAATCTATTCATGATAAGGTGTGTTTCACTTTTTTAAAAAATGGCGATGGTGATATTTTTGATGTGATGTGTAAATACATAAGAACTATATGGCCGCGATTTGAGGGAAATTTACATACATACCACATAATTCTTATTTATTTACATATCTAACAGCCAAAGTGATGGTGTTATGTGCGTATGCATGAGAGGGTTTGTTTCACTTTCAAAAAAAAGTGATGGTGGTATACTGGTATTTTTGATGTGATGTGAAAGAATTCAGTAGCATGCATGTGAATTTGAATGTTTAGGTCTTAAATATGTAAATACATACGGACATTTACATATCTAACACCTAAATTTTACTTTTTACATTCATACCACCCAAATTTTTTATATCACATAAAAAATAACACTATTTTAACTTTAAAAAGTGACACCTTTTTGTGCATTGGTAAGATACCAAGATGGGATGTATGTAAAAATTGAAGTTTAAGGGCATTTACATACATACCACTCACTTTGTATGTATTTACATATCTCCACCTAAATTTTACTTTTTGCATTCATACCACCCAAACTTTTTATATCATATAAAAACTAACACTATTTTAACTATAAAAAAGTGACTTTTTTTGTGCATAGGTAAGATACTAAGATTGGATGTATGTAAAAATTGATGTTTAAGGGCATTTACATACATGCCACTCTCGATTTCTATGTATTTAGATATCTAAACACCAAAACTTTACCTTTTTTTTTTTTTTACATTTATACCACTCAAATCTTTCATCAGGAACAGTTTGCCATTAACAAGTCATGTTTATGCAGGATTCTTTTCAGGTTTTATTGCATAAAAGAGATGGCAATAGGGCGGAGTGGGAGTATCCTTTTGCTGTAGCTGGAATCAACATCTCATTTATGCTCGTTCAGATGCTGGATCTTCAAGCAGGTTAGTATATTTCAAAATTACATTAGTTTCATATATTGGGAAATCCGCAAAACAAAACTTAATTCAATCACCAAGAGCGAAGGGGAATATAAAAATAGAAAAAGGAAGATTTACATGCATACCCCACAATTCTTATGCATTTACATTTCTGATACCCAAACTTCATTTTTTATTACATATTTGCAATCTTTCCTATGCATGAAAAAAGTCTATCTTACCTTCTAAAAGTTAGAATAATGGTATTTTTTTATGAAAGTCTTGTTTGGTATTTAACATACGCCGCCTCAATTCTTATGTATTTACATTTCTGATCCCAAAACTTAATTTTTTTACATATATGCCGTCTTACCTATGCATGAAAAAAGTTTATCTCACTTCTAAAAGTGAGAATAATTGTAGTTGTAGAGTTCACTATGATTTAGGTTTGGAGAATTGTAGTCATCATTGCTTGTATGTCACCTAAAAGTGGCATCTTTCTCTCCTTAGAAATTAAAATTTTTGATAGCTAGTGTTGTGAATTTATCTCAAAGATCATTAATCGCGCTAAAATAGATTCGAATTTTGGCTCGGCTTGAAATAAACGAGCCGAGCTATGAGCCAAAATTTTGGATCGATTTTTTTCTTTTTCAAGCCAATTTCGCGCCAGACAAGAATCGGCTCGAATGGACTCAAAATCGACTTTTACTATTTTTTTTATTTATAAATATTATATATATATATAATGCAAGTAAAATTGAATATAACGAGTCACGAGCCAATTTTGAGCTGGAATGGATCCAAATAACTCAATTTGAGCCTATCGAGCTGATTATGAGTTGAAATGTATCCCAATAGCTCAATTTAAGCCAGCTTTTTTTGATTTTGAGCCCGATTGAGTTCTATTAAATTTTGAGTTGGCTTGGCCCGAAATTGAATATAACGAGCCACAAGCCGATTTCAAGCTACACTAAATCTTTTCAAGCCAATTTTGAGTCGCCCTCAGCTTTGCTTGAAATCAAATCGTTAACCGACCTAATTGATAGCCAAAAATACAATAAATACTCAAAGCTCCTTCATTGAAATAACCCACGACTAAATCTACATAGTATGTTGTTGACTAATTAATGAAATACCTGTTGTTGAGATCGCATAAAATGGCGGATTTTAGTTTTTCAAAAACTCCACACATTTAGTGGGGCGAGAGCAGCGGGGGCGGAACCAACTTCAATCTTAAAGAATAGTAAAATCATCAAATGTTTAATTTTTTTTTTAAATGTTTGGCTAACAAATCTATTGAAAGTGGGCAGAAAGACCACATTATTAAATTTTCTATTATTTATAGAGAAATCTCAAATTCCAGCTCAATCGCTGAAAGCTTAACTTATTGATGCCAATGCTTGTGAGGCCTTCTTCATTCCAACATATGTTTCTGCGATATGACGAGCTTAGTCATTTATTCTTTATTCGAGGGGGCGATGTGGAGTCAATTCTAATCGAATCTTGTGCTACTTAACAGGTAGTCCAACATCAAAGGCGGGAACTCGTTTCGCAGAACTTCTCGCAAACGACAAGAGTGCTTTCGACGACCTCTACTGTGTAGCTTTCAGGTTGATGGATGCCCAATGGCTAGCCAAGAGAGCCTCTTACATGGAGTTCACTGTAAATCTCCAAACCATTTCATATTTGGAATATTCACATACATGCCACTCAATTTCTATGTATTTACATATCTAACACCTAAGCTTCACTTGACATATGCATGAGAAGTTGTATTTCCATTTTTGAAACTCAAAATAGTGGTATTTTTGCTGTGACATGATAGATTTGGCTGGTATAAATGTAAAAGGTAAAAGTATAGAAATTGGGTGGTGATTATGTAAATGATTAATAATCAGTTATTTAAGGCCTTGTTTTCTTCATTTCTGATTGGTTTCATTGTATTTTGTTTGAAGGATGTTCTCAAGTCTACAAGAGCACAATTAGAACTAGAGCTTGCGCTGGAAGACATTTATAGTGTCAAGGACTTGCCTGCTTATACCATGTTGTACAGATAGGGAGCCCTTATTTCCAATTTATTTTGAATGATTATTTTATGATTCATAATACATTTGTAAGGTTTAATATTGCTATAAATATGTGCTAATTTTACCTTCCCAATGCATTTTGCAGGCAAAAAAAATTTGAGATTTCATAAATTTTATTATATATACATATAGAAATTTATTTAATTTTTGGGGAATTTACATACCCAGCAGCACCCAAATCTTATGTATTTATTTCTCTTGCACGTAAACTTCAATTTTTACGGGCGAAGCTCCCAACTTAGCTCTTTCCTACGAAAAAATTTCTGTACGGGCTCTTAACATAACTCTACGCGTGGCGCAGGATACTCATGAGTTATTTTCAGGTTATTTCTAGATTTTTTTTAATAATCCTGAAATAATCTAGAAATAACCCGTGATCTTTATTTTTGGGTTATTTATGGATAATTTTGAGATTATTGAAAATAACCTAAAAATAACTCAGGAATAACTTGCATAGCACGTAGAGATACGTCAGGTGTCCGGACAGAAAATGCGCCCTTCCTACACTAAGAACAGTGAAATGCACCTTTTCATGTATAGGTAAATGGTATTTCTTGTAAAAGCGACACGTAAATGCATAAGATTTCGGTGTGGAGTATGTAATTTTTTTTTATTTTTATTTTTGATAGACATATAAGTTATATTTGGTGCCTTAAAACTTGATGTTGATCTTTTCATTGATGATAGTGTTGGTGATGCTCAGCAATATGAGTATCATGCTGAACCTTATTATGAAACATTTATAAATATATAATGATGCAAAAAAAGATTACATCATTAGTATTTTCTTACAATATTGAATTCTGTTGATAATGAGTAAATGGTGGATTATAAACCCAATTTTGATTCATTTTCATTTTCACTTGTTATTGGAGATTTGATTAATCACATAGGCATAAAATTTTTAATTCAAAGTAAAATTGGCATTAATTTATCAAACTAAAGTGCAATTTACATCTTGAAAAATGTCTCAAAATGTCTTATTTATATATATATATATCAACAAACTATAAGCTTTTATGCTTTCTAGTATGCTACAAATGAGAGAGAGAGAGAGAGAGAGAGAGAGACCTTAAGGGCCCGTTTGGTGCAGCTTATAAGTGCAGCGGTGCTTTTGAAAACATCATCTAACCGTTTGATTTGTGTGTTTTTGAAAATATTATATGTTGTGTTTTTTGTTTTTTGCACAAAAAGCAGGTCACGGGTCGACCCCCGTGATCAACCCGCGGGCCACATTTCAAGATAAGTTGTTTATTTTGAAACACACAAGCTGCCCCAAACAGACTTCACCTATTTTTTTAATATTTCAATTCCCTAATAATCACATCATTAAATAATTTAGTTTTGTGCATTATTTGCTCATTGTGAAAATGAATATTTGTTTATGAAATTCATTACTAAAATAAACATAGAAAATTGCTGTATAATTTTAACGATATCTTCTCCATGAATCTTGCACATCCTTCACCCCATCACCAATTAGTACAAGTTCGAAATAAAAAACTACAGCTAAACAAATCTATATCAATTATAATGCTTCATAATAAATTATGCCAATACTTGTCTTCTGAAGCACAACTTGTAGATCCCAATTTATGTTAAATCTGAAATAATCCTCATTGAGGCCTATTAAATCTCAACTTTAAAACAATAAAAATCTTTTTTAAACCTTGATAACTAAAACAACCTATATACATAATTAGGGACTACTTTGGCACCTTACTCGAACATGTTGCGCATCAGTTATCAATTAGGCTCTATTGATCATGATGTAAAAAATCATATATATATATAATTCATGTGTATTTATATATCTTAACATCTAAACTTATTCATAGTAGCCCAAATCTTTCATATCACATCAAAAATACCACCAATTTAACTTTGAAAAAGTGAAACACCTTTTCATTCATAGGTAACCTGGCATGCATGTAAAAATTCAATTTTCAGTGTTAGATAGGTAAATACAAAGGCATTAAGTGATATGTATGTAAAATTTCCCAAAAAAAACTAATACCAGAACAGCAAAAACAAAATGGCAGTCAGACTATCCTGTGACATTTTCAAATATGTTTGAGAATAACCATCATTCAGCTTAAGAAAGCAAGTTCATTACGCAAATAAGACTAGCTCAACTAAAACACAAACAAGAGAGCTCAACCAAGTATGGCCAAGGTAAAAACCTGCAAAAGATATATAAGGAAATTACAAATAAAAAAAAAAAAAAAAAAAAAAAAAAACAAGTTTTATGAATTTATGAAGTTTGCCTTCATTCATGTTAAATCCGGCAAGAGGAAGTGGAATCACTAAATCCTATTAACTCTAAATCCTTCCTGCAGCCAAACACCCCCTTAAGAATTTCTCGGCTTACCAAACTTTTTAATATTATTTTAAAAACTAAAAAGATGTGCGATGAGTTGAGAAAGAGTATTTTTATAATTACTTTTACAAAATAAAAGAGATGCACAATAGTGAGCTTATAGAGGAATTAAATTAATGTGCCATACATTAAAATTATGGGATTAATTGAATATAAGTTAAGACGTGATGCAAAGATTTCTCAAAATCAGTTTGGATTTATGTCAGACAAGCTTACCATGGAAGCTATATATCTGTTGAGAGGTTTGATGGAGTACAAGAGGCCAAGGAGGATCTAAATATGATTTTTGTTGATTAAAAAAAAAGGAAAAAAAAAAAAGTTTATGATAGGAAAGATGTTGATATGACTTAAATTCAAATCATTAAATTCAAATCATTAAAGGTATGTATATACTAGAGTTGTTACATGTATTTGAACTCCATGAGGATTGACCAAGTATTTTTCTATTTCAGTTGTATTATATCAAGAATCAACTTCAAGCCTATTATCTCTTTGCTTTACTTATGGATGTTCTTACAAATACATGAGGATGTAATTTGTTGCATGCTAAGGAGAAACATAAAACTAAGTGTTGATAAGACGAGAATATTTTGGTGGATAAGTGGTTTTACACTTAGCGACAAAATACAAATCAAATATATCGGTGATAAGTTGGTGTTGCTCCAGTGGCAGACAAGATAAGTCTTAAATGATTTGGCCAAATTAAATGTCGACCATCTGATGATCTTATTAGGAGAGTAAATGTTTCAGATTTGACTTTTGGTAAGAAAGATAGAGATGTACCTAAAAAGATGTGGGCATGTTGTATAAAAAAAGATCATAATCTATTAGAGTTAAATGAAAATAGACACAATGTAGAAAATCGGTTACTGTAGCAGATCCCGCTTAATGGGTAAAAGGTGGAGCTGCCCCTATTTAAAAAAACATTTTAAACAGTCTCTGCTTTTTTACTTGTTCCTACAACAAATGATAAATTCCATTGTCACTTTCAAACTATCAGAAAAATTAGAAACTTACATGGCTCTAGTAAATACAAAAGCTTACAGGAGAACTTGCATTCAAGGCACAAAAATCCTTTCTGTTTAGGATGTGACAAATACTAAACCTATCACAGCATGCATGCTAAATTATTATGAAATTAAAAGTAAATAACATGCAAGTCATAACACTTAAATGAATTAAGATGACATTTATTTATTGCTCAACTATCACGTGTTTAACATCATTATTTTTCAATTTCAATTCAAATAAAAGACTAGTACTACTCTACTTAAACAATTAACTATTCATACATGTGTTTAAGTACTTTCTTTACACTTGCTGCAATTTTAAAACTTATATTTCAATTTCAATTTGGGGGTATTTACGTACATACCACAAAATTCTTATACATTTACATATCTAACACTCAAATATCTGACATCGCATCAAAAATACCAGTCTAACTTATAAAAGTTGAAACACACCTTTCATGCATAGGTATTTAGTCCCAAGTTGTTAGAAATGTAAATATCAAACTTTTCGATATGTAAATGCACAAGAATTGTGTGGTATGCACCCTTAAATTTATTTATATTAAGTTTTAGATTTATTAACAAAACTTTTAATCACTAGAACTCAAAACTAAGGCCTAGGAAAGCACAACTAATAATTAACTTCATTTCTATTGTTTTTATGTATTGACAAGCATTATGCAAACTACTGTCACAGTCATGAAAACATATAGAAGGGATGGTCATGTTAATTACAACAAATAAAACCAACATAACATTTATTCCCTTCTGCTGAGTTCCAGTGAGCGTTCAAGGACAATGGTTCGGTAAGAACGTAGCCACTTCGGCAAGTACTTTACCACTAACACGCCTCTCCAAGCATCAAAATTTCTGTGATTTTGATCAACCAAGCCTCTTGACTAATAATAATGGAGGTGTTTACATACATGCCACACAATTCTTTTGTATTTATATATAGAGAACTTAAATTTTAGTATTTACATGCATAACGGACAAATATTTAATATCACATCAAAAAAACCACTCTTACTAACTTTATAAATGTTAAACGCACATTTTCATGCATAAGTTATAACACCAAAGTGTTACAAATATAAATATCAAACATTAGGTGTTAGATATGTAAATGCATAAGAACTATTAGATATGTAAAATGTATGTAGAATTCTAATAATAAAAACAAAACAAAGCATCCTAGCATTAAGAATTTAAGATGATGGATTCTTAATGCCTTTTGTTAAAAGAAAAGTCTGTATTTAAACCTGTTAGGTAGGTCCGTAGAAAACACAAAATTTAACATATTTGCTTCTTTTCATATTACCTTGTATTTAACAAAGTTGGTTTGTTAGAGATCCAAAGACCAAGGAAAAGTCAAAATTACAAGCTGGCTTTGGTTCTCAAATGTCAGAAATGGTATCTTAAAGCAGCCCAATAAATTAAAGGGAAAATTACATACATAGCGCACAATTTTGTTTTTATTCACATATCTCACACCTAAACTTTCATATTTACATACCAAGCATTTTGGTGCTTTTAACATATGCATGAAAATGTATATTTCACTTGTAAAAAGTGGTAACAAATGCAATGTTTATGTGATAATAAAAATTTGAGTACAATTTGTGTAAATATGAAAGTTTTGGTGTGAGATAGGTAAATACATAAAAATTGTGTGCTATGTATGTAAATGCCTCTAAATTAAATCAAGATGCAAACCAATGATCACATACCTGCAACATTGTAGGATGTTGAGGCAAGTTCTTCAAGCCACCTCTTTTCTTGTAGACAACTGGAACACGTAGGCCATTTTATTTAACCAAAGGTCTGTTTTGTTGGGAAAGTATCAACATGAAGTTATGTTGCATTAAGAGAAAAATTTTAAAAGGCATTTACATACAGGCCACACAATTCTTATGTATTAGCATTAGCATATCTAACATCTGAAGTTTTATAGTTGCAAACATAGCACTCTAATCATTAATATCACACACAAAATATCACTATTGTTTACTTTTTAAAAGTGAAGAACACATTTTCATGCATAGATAAGGTGTTAGATATGTAAATAGAAAAGAATTGTGTGGTATGAATGTAAATTTCCTTAAAGAAAAGCTGGATACAAGGAAATGAAAAAAAACAAGCTTAAAAATCGATTAAAAAATGGATTTATTAGCACTTCATGGGCTTTAGAACAACAGGTTATCTTTTACAGTAAAGGGTTGGGCAATCAAATTTAATGAAAAAGGCTACTTTAGGTAATGTTGATGTTTTTTCCTACTTTACATGTAATGATCAATAATACCATGTTAAAAAGTTGGGAAATATACATACGTAGCACACAATTCTTTTATATTTACACATCTCAAACCTACACTTTCATATTTACATACATCACTTCGGTGCTTTAAACATGAAAATCTGGATTTCACTTTTAAAAAGTCGTAATAATGATATTTTTTTATGTGATATTAAAGATTTGAGTGCAATGTGTGTATGAAAGCTTAGAAGATAGATGTGTAAATACATAAGAATTGTGCGCTATGTATGTAAATGTCCCTAAAAAGTAATACAGAAATGCAACATTTAGATCGCATAAGTTAACAAAACATGATTAATCTGCATTTTTAAAAACAAAAAAGTGCACATATCTCTTTTAAGAATCGTTACGATAAACAAATGCATATTAGTAGTAAGAAAATAACATGACAGATCGCTAAGCACAGAAGAAAAAGGTTGCAGGAGCCTTGAGACATCCAATTTAATAATATAAGCGAAATAAGAATCTAGCGAAGTAGTCAGTTTATTAATTTAGAACACAATTCTTAACAAAGTTAATAAATTAAACTGTGAGCAGAAAATGAAATCATTTTCAGTAAGGCCCAAAGAAATGTGGTTAAAAGCCCAAGGAAGATTCGCTGAACTGATGATACAATTATACAAAGCTGCTTAGGTAGCCGTAAACATGTCATAGCAGCTCTATCCAAGTGGTCAACTTTACAAAATATAATTATTAAGGCACTATCATCGCTGAAATGCAGCTGGGATGACAACAGACCTCATTTTTTCTTTCTTCCTTTTTTTTTTTTTTTTTTTGAAAACTTCCAAAGCATCCAAAAACAACAGAATCAACAACAACAAAAAATTGAAATGAAACATTTTTGCATAAAGAAAACTAAACAGAAAATATAATGAAGAGGACAACAGATAAATGTCAATGTCTGAAAAGTAGCAAGCAAAATGGTTTTGAATACAAGTTCTTTTTAAAGTAGAGAAGTTGAAACCCACTTAAAATAACTGAAAATCCTAGGTGAAAAAATTTTACATAGCTTTGAAATAGATCAAAGTTTTTAAAATAGGTTTTAAGTCAACATAGATGAAAACTCTAGATTCATAGTAGCAGCAGTTCGAAAAGAAGCAATAAAGTGGGCAATTTCCACGAGCAGGAACTCCAGAATAATCATCTTCTCAGAACTAAACTGACTACAGAGGTAAAAGGATCTGCAAAAATGAACATAAAAAGGTAAAAGACAATTTAACTTCTTAAAAAACAGCAGAAAATCAAGATGAGAAGCCAACTAGACAACCTTTCAAAATAAACTGCTTGATTTACCAAGTATGCAGCTATAATAGGATATATTTATCAAAATATAATAAAATACCAAACTGGAACAAAAAAAATGAAGAATAACAGCATAATAATGAGGTGGATCAAAAACATAGAAACACCTTCCGTCACTAATTTTGCTTAAAATTTGTTTGCCACTTCTAGAATGCACATAATTCATCTATATGATTCAGTGTATTTCTATTTATTTCTTTTCAGACAAATCATGCCCTTCTCATAAGGATTAATTTGAATATATTCATGAAATTGTATCACTGTAGCTCCTTCTAAATTGGTCCATGAAATTTTATCAAAAAGCTTTCGCCCTATGCTGATTTAGATGAGAAAAAAAAATACTCCATGGAACATTAGACTAAATGCATTGCCTAAAATGTGAGGCACATGACACAAAGTACACGAATACAAAGAAAATCCTAGAAATGAAGTTTGACAATATTCAAGCCGAGAATGAACTAAACAAAGTCAATTAATCACTTAAATCTCTCACAAGGATTAATGTTTCAATTAATTGAAAATAATTTGTAGATTACTTCTGAATAATTCTTCATTTAAAGGGTGCAAGGACCAGATTTTCAAAGTGCAAGTCAAAAACATTATTTGATATCATGATGTGCAGACTGCCACTAAAAGGGTAAAATATAGGTCCATTAAACCTTAAAATGAAAATGTCAATGTTTACATTTTTAGCTTTAAGCATTCATATGTGGCCTAGGATTGCCAACTTCAAACTTTCTTAAGCTAAATTAATGTAAAACTACTTTAAAATCACTTGGATTCTTATTTTTTTTGGAAATTTTCAAAAAAATTTCTTAAATTCAACCAAGTTCACCCAATTAGATAGGTTGAAGTTGTCAATAAACTGATCGGTTAGGATTTAGAAATCTAGAAGTTTTTCCATGTTAAACTTAATTAAAATCTACTAAAAATAATTACAATCATAATTCTTACTATTTACTTTTCAAAACTATTAAATTTTATTTAATGGCAGAGGATATATGAGCTGATTAAGCATGCTAAACTTGGCATGAGTTCTCTACATATACCAAAAGATAACAACCTAATTAGGTAGGCAAATTCAAGGAACCTAGCCAAATAGCTCAATTTAAGCCCAAGGTTGTCATTGAACTTGATCGATTCCAATTTGACCTAAATTGATGCTTTGCAACAAACTTCAAACCATTCTTTAAAATTTTACGAAATCATTTTGAGAGCCTATTTTAATAGCAATCAAGTTATTTAAAACATTAAGGAAACCAACAATAGACAACAAAAGACACATTTCCAGGATCTCAGAAAATGACATACTATGATTCTGATTCACATTTTCATTCGATACACTTACAAATGCGCCATGGCTAGTCACCTAACCTACAAGCCACTTACAAATCAACTCTATTTAACCGATACAAATGTTGATAAAAATGTTTAAAAACCTAGTTACTTCATAATCATTGGTAAGTGCTCCAAAGATTCCAATGCATTCTCATTGGATGTTGTTGAACTCACATTTAAACCTACTTGAGGCCAATTCGGTCTTTTTAGGCTATTTTGTTGATTCAGAGTTATCCAATGCTCTAAAACATAATCCCAATCTTTATGGCAATTTATCCCACCTAATCAATCCATCAAACACATCCTAACAAATGGCCAACCTTTCCAACCCCAAAACATCATTTGTTCATTTTACATAATAAATTGATGCAACAATAAACTTCAACTCTCCAACCATTTGTGACCAATAAACCTATATCCAACATTTCAGCATTGGTGATCATACATGTCCAAAGCCGGCCACCGCTCACAAGTCACAACCCATCATACACAAATCTTATTCATCAACTTACGTAAACCTATATTCAACATTTTGGCATTGGCGATCATACATGTCCAAAACATGCCACCGCTTACAAGCCACAGCCCATCATACACCAATGTCACTGTGTCGCTCATCAACTTATCATCCATCTGACTTGCCAACAAGTCCTCAGAACTAACACCACCACTAATCTAGTTATTTCACCCTCTAGCTTATCAACACTTGTCAACTGGTCACCAACCCTTAACTTGTCATATGGGGATTAGAAAATTATCATCCTTTCTTGGGTAACTTGATAGGTGAAAAGGCAAAATCCTCTCACATCTACCTATTCATCAATTTATATAATGATTCCCACAATTGACTCTATTGTCATCAATTATCTTGTACCATCTTTCAAACTACAAATTTGCGTCCTTAAGCTTCATCTTATTATTGGTTTTTCTCTCTCCAAGTCATCATTGTTTCCATACAAAATTAAAAGAATCTCAAATCCTCCAAGCACCTCGACAATTGTGATGAAGATCTCTCTCTCCTCTCTCTTTCATGATTATAAATTTCAATGAGTACATCTTTAAAATTTCTAGTTCAGCTCTTCATCGCCACATCTCCTACATTACAGGGGAGGTGTAGGTTCCAAGTTCATTCCTCTCAAACATGTGCATGCCACCCATCTTCTTCCTCCTTGCGACAAATTTGTGTTCCAAGCGCTTTGAACTACTGAGCTCCAATCTCATCAATGTCTTTCCACTCAATTTCAATATGACTTCCACACATGATGCCAAATCCAACACATACATCAACATTTCAATCAACTTTTTGAACCTCGCTCTCACATGAAGCCACACGGAATTCTCATACCCTCTAGCTTATCAACACTTGTCAACTGGTCACCAATCCTTGTCATATGGGGATTATAAAATTATCATCCTTTCTTGGGCAACTTGATAGGTGAAAAGACAAAATTCTCTCACATCTACCTTTTCATCAGTTTATATAATGATTCCCACAATTGACACTATTGTCATCAACTATCTTGTCCCATCTTTCAAACTACAAATTTGTGTCCTAAAGCTTCATCTTATTATTAGTTTTTCTCTCTCCAAGTCATCTTTGTTTCCACACAAAATGAAAGGAATCTAAAATCCTCCAAGCACCTCAACAACTGTGACAAAGATCTCTCTTTCATGCCTATAAATTTCAATGAGTACATCTTTGAAATTTCTAGATCAGCTCTTCATCGCCAAATCTCCTACATCACATGGGAGGTGTAGGTTCTAGGTTCATTCCTCTCAAACATGTGCGTGCCACCCCGTCTTCTTCCTCTTTGCAACAAATTTGTGTTCTA